CTTTATACCTCAATTCGCGGCATGAGGCCCGTCGCTTTTTCGAAATATTCAGAAACGAACAGGTTAAAATATGAAGGGGCGGCCTGCTGGCCAAATTTGGAATTTCCTAGTTTTCAAAACATTCCTTTGTCGGACGAGTAGGCTCGGCTTCTTCTATTGTCATTGTCAACTGAATTTCCCTGGTTCCTAAATATCTCCTCTGTTCAATATCTGGTTTAAAATTCTACTAGCTTTTGCCTGCGACTTCATTCGCGTAAAGCTTGATTTTCGTGCATCCGTTATATTAATTTTATTGTTTGAATTTAAAGACTTCGATTGATTAGAAAACTACGCAGTTTTTTATTTTATTCCATTTTCATGCCTCTATTCATCAGATATACGATTTGCTTGTAATTCGTGTCATTTTATATTTTCATTTCCATAACGATTTCGCTGTTTTACTTAGTCTGAGATCTAGCAACGTTTTCGAGAGAGAATTTAAAAAAAAGGTGGTTCTTTAATATATCTTTTGCTATGCTCTCCTGAACAGAGTCGTGCGGACCATCTGACTGCTGCTAGACGCCGCGTTCACTACTGCGCATCACAAATTCGCCATGTGTTTCAGGAACTAAGGGGGGAGAACAGATATTTAGTTTCGTAAGAAAGTAGCAAAGTAATGTGAAAATCGCATCATTGTATCCGTACTCATAAACGAGAAATCCCATAAAACACACCAAAATGAGATACACTGGGCATATGTAATACACAGTAGTAAACCGCAGTAGTCTACCGGCCGCGGCAGCCAGACGACCCGCACTTTGCCCAGGAGAGAACAGCAGAACAGGAGAGCATAGCAAATTATATATCTAAGGGTGCGTTTATGTTGGAGCGGCGATAAACGATAAAAGCAGCGATAGTAGCGAAGCAAAGAATATTATTGTATTAATTTATATAAGTGTTTATATTGGAGCAACGCGTCGAGGCACGCTTGGCAGTTGAGCAACGATAAGAGCAGCGCTAATTGTTTTGGCTATTTTCTTTGCTTTTATATCAAAGGTGATCGATATGGATACCGATAGTTTAATAAGTGAAATATTCATTAGACCTGCCATAGTGGAACCAAATAAATAAATACATCATAATAGATTGAAATTGTGAAATTCACCAAACTTGTATCTTCTGGTATTTATTGGGTGTGCACAGAATTTGCGTTTTTTATCTGCAGTTTTAACAATATAATATTTAACAGCATTTGAAGCTAAATATAATTCCTCTTCGGAATCACTCATTTTAAACAATTATATTTTCAATCGATTGATTTGGTCTCAACGTCCACTTGCAACGTCTACAAAGCAGAGATCGTTGTTACTATCACAGCTCCACTATGAACGGCACATTATAGAAGTGAATTTTGTGCAACTCTTGTCGTGGCTTTTATCACTGCTTTTATCATTTATCGCAGCTCCAACATAAACGCACCCTAAGAACCAGCGCTCTTAAAATTCTCGTTTTCCTGACGTTGCTACTAGTAGCTCTTGTACTATTATATTTTTATTAAGGTTAGATTAAATTTGTCAAAAAAGTGTCAAAACGTCAGTTATATCTCCAGGTTATATCTCCGTTGACGGCTTGACGGGCTAGAGTAAAAAATTTACGGATAAAAAGTGGCGCGAAAACGCTATGACCAATCAGAACGCCGTCGGACCATCTTCAAAAGTATCAACGGATAACGGACGCATTAAAATCAAACTACATCTCGAATCTTTATACGTTATTATATGTATTTTGAAAAAACATTTTGTAAAATTTAAAAAACGTGTTTTATTTTTTCATCCCCTGTGTATGATACCCTTATAACAAACTTTGTATGCCAAAAGTCCAACGTTTGATTATACTCTTCTGAAATAAACAATCTTAATAATTCTGTCTGAAAAATATCAAACCAAATTATTTCAAAGAATTTCAATTTTGGCCTGAAAATTATTTTTGCTACGATCGTACAAAAAGTAGTTATTTTTTACACTAGTGTAAAAAACACCTTGACATTATTAATGACGAGTTTAACTAAAGACAAAACCTTTGTAAATTTTTATAAATATTTGTCAAATCCTGGAAGGGAAACCAAGTACCAGTAAGAGTTTTAAGTAAAGAACAAGAACCCGAGACCTTTACCAGCAGAAATGAGAATAAAAAATTCAAAAGACTATTGGAAATTAAGTTTGTCCATCAATTACCTCAGTTAATTGTTCAAACTGCGACATTAAAATAAAAATCAACTCAAAAAAAGTTATTAAAAAAATAAAAATAATAATTGTTTATAGTGTCATAATATTACTCTGTGAATTACTGTAAAACTTTTTAATAAACATTTAAATAAGAATTTCCATTCGATCGCAGAAAAAATGTTGTGTGCGACATGTGTAAAAAGCATATTTGTTTCACTCAGCATGATTGCAGCCCTCTACCTCATCTTCAGCTGCAAAACTCATGCGTCGTGCAATAAATATGTCCTTTTTGCACTAGTTACACAAATCACTATTGAAATCTTGCTTGAAAGTGTGTCCTGGTATTTCCCTATTTTCCCCACAGAATCTGCATTCGCCGTTGTTTCTCACGTTCAATCTACTGAGGTGTTCATTGAGGAGACAGTGAGCTATTAAAAACCCAGTGACGATCCCTTACTTAAATCAAGAGAAAATTTTTGATTTTTATCAGTCGTAAGTCTTGAAAAAATTCTTCTGGTGTCTTAGACCTATGGAGGATTCCCATTCCAGGTTACGGATGAAGTCTGCCAGATGCTTTAGTTTCACTTTAAGTAACCAACTTAAAGGAAGTAACCCTAAGATTAACCACTTAGGAAGCAGAACGGTTCTGGTACAGGTAGTGAAGTGTTTTTACAACCTATTTTTTTTTTCATTAACCTTTATCCCTTATTGAGCCGGCACCCGGCACCCAGATTAGGAGGACTTTTTTCCTAATCTGTTCAGACTAATTTGTTCAGCTTCTCTAGGCATTCTCTGACCGACTTCGAATTGATGGTTACTGAGTTGATTGCTCTTACGGCTGCTTGACTATCGGATAAGATAGATATTTCTTGTTTCCGATAGTTCCTATATCTAAGATAAGTTGTACGCATCTTTCGATAGCGGAGATCTCTGCCTGAAGGAAGCTGGGGTAGGTGCCCATTAATTCTGAATATTTAATTTTCGACCTAAATACTCCTATCTCTGTTCCTGCTTTGGTTTTGGAAGCATCTGTATATCACGTTATGGTATGGTCCAACTGCTTAGCAAACGTTTCTCCCTTCCAATTCCTTTTGTTGCTCAATATTACAGAGAGGACAATTGATCTAGTAAATTTTGATGGTCTCACAAGTTTCATTATTAATTAATTATGATTAAATTTTATATGATACCAAAACAACTATAGCAAATTTAAAAAAAAATCAAATTTCTGCACTCGTGCAATAAAAACATCAAAATATAAATCATTTGTATGCTGTAAAAGTTCTCAAACGCATTATTTTTTTCCTGTCTTGCCTTTCTCTTTATAATTGAGAAAGATATAAATCACTTTTCGAACTTTATTTTTATTATCAGACAGCAAGCATATTCTTATAGCAATTCTAGGAATGTCGGCTGCCACTTTTCGGATTTTTAAACACCAACAGGTTAATAGCTGAAAGGTTTGTGACTAAAATAAGCATTCCCTTGTTTTGAAACATCTGTTTGTTTGCAGTTATAAATAAGCGTCAAAATTAAACTAGTCTGCTTTGAGGAACTTACTGGTGTCGCCTTTGAGTTATAACGGTATATAAATATACTATTCATAGAACATAGCTGGTTTTCGTAACGTCAAGTCAAGATTACGTGTCAATTACAGATCTAAATAACTGACATATTTTAATAGCATAGAATAACGGAAAAATACACCAGGCATTCATTATAAAACACTCGCTAAAATTGATTGCAGATCGTCACACCTGATTTAAGGCTAAATTTAGGAAATATGTCAAAATTGAGCATAGATAAAGGAAACAAGTTTATATTTGAATGCTCAGCTTACCGCCAAAACTTACAATTGTTTTGGAGCGCATACGTTGTAGAGCGCTGCTATAGTGGTGGTTAAGGACAACCGCAAACAAGAACAGAAATAATTTTCTCTTATCAAAGTCAGTAAGTATCTTCCAAAATTATAAAATCTTTTAAAATTTAAACCGCCCTCATTGAAAAAATACCGAAAACTGTTTAAAGCGTCCATTTTCAAAGTCATTATTGCTATTTTGAGTTTAATTTAAATGTTATTTGCTCAAACCCATGATAATTATTGTGAAAAAGTGACATTAAAAACTTAAAAAGCTGTGTGAACTTTGCAGTTCACGCAAAAACCATCGTGGATCGTGGCATAACGTCGGTTTCCAATGTTTCGTAGGTATTTCATACATATGTCCTTTTATATAAAATAATGTTTCTTATATGCAACACACTGTATTTTATTTAAAATATTAAAAGAAAATAGTAATAAATTTGAATAAACAATATTTCGCGACATAATTCCGGAAAAAGCCGAACCGCTCCAAAATTATGAAAAGCTTTGGGTCGCGACCGTTGTAAGAATAGCGCCAAATAGTATTTATATTTTCCTTACAGGCACTTTCCAATATAAACTTGGTTTATTTTATCTATAAATATGAATCCAATAGACATTTAAAGGTGACTTAGACAAACACGTTTGCAGAATTTGTCACTTGAAGATGCGCAGTTCTTTGCATTAGGCGATGATAAGACATTGCCAAAGTCTCTGATCACAAATTATCTGAAAAGATTGCAGAAGAATAGGCTAAAAACTACCTCCAATAAAAACCTAATCTAAATTAACATAGAAACGAGAATACTAATGCATTGAACGTTAAACGAAGAATTAAAGTATAATATACATATTTTATAAATAGTAGAGGGAGCTTCGTCTTTTGTATAAGCAGATTATTTTCTTCTATATATGTTATATTTTTATTATAATACTTACAGTTATCGTAGAAGTTATCTTTGTTGATCGTCTTATACTCTCTCTAGGAGAAGTTGAAACTGTTGTTTGAGTTTTTGCAGTTGCAGCATGGTGTGCTTCCATTCCAGATAGTAGCACTTGGGAACCTGTTAACATATATTCATTATTAAATATACTACTATTACTATTCTAATTAACCAAGCTTTTTACCTATAAATTTATTTAAAAGTCCTCTAGCTGCGATATCTTCTTCCGAATCACCTTCTTGGTATTCTTCAGTTTTCATTCTAGTAATTACATCCTCGGCTCCAGTTATTTTTGATGTGTTTGTTAAAAACGTTTCGCCAGTCCTGGACGTACTGCTTTGTCTCACATTAACTATGAAATTATTGAGGATTATGTTAACCTTCTTAGATACGAAACCATTCACGAGTTACGATAGATGGACTAGATTAAAAAATAACTTCAAGAGGCAAAAACAAACAAATTCTGACAAAATTAATTCTTTCAGTCAACGCTAAAACCACCAATAATTGTTGTTAATTCAACACAAAAATACCAAAGAAATATTTGAAGTAATTGTTCAGATTTGTTTTGAAACACCTTAATAATTACTGTTTTATGAGTTTAGCTAAAACTTACCCGGTGATCCTTCTCTACTGTCAGAGTCGCCTTGATTTTTGAAGCTGGAAGAACGCAATATCAAGCCTGCCTTTGGGTAGGTTGCTTGCTTCTCATTCTTCAAAGTCTCGACTGTAATTTATAAGAATATACATTTACTTTGATAGATTAAAAAGCCCTACAAATGTATTACAAACTAGCTCTCTTATAACAGGAGATTATTAGTTGTATAAAAGACAAAGCAAAAAAAAAACAAATAAGGAGAAAAAGCATTATCAAAAGTATAAAAGAATTAATTTTTACTAAAAAAAAAGGTAAAAATACAATTACTGATTTCAAAAATATATACTTTATAAAGTAGTTTTAAAAAAGTAGTAGTTTAGTTTCTTAAACTATACAAATAAAGTTGGAGAATAATATATTCAATCCCATACAAATAGAAGGAGGTTATGGCTATAGGGCGGTACTAAAAAAAGTTTAATTTTATGGTTATCTCCAGAAACCCAAATATGTTAAAAATCTCCACTATAACATTGAATACAAGGCCTATCGAGAAAGTAAATAAATTTGAGTACTTGGGCATCTGGACCTTCGAAGAATGGACATCATTAAAGGAAATTAGATATCTTTCGATGAGTACTTATACAGGGTGGTCCGATCTGTATTCCGGAAACTTCGGAAGCATATTCTACAGATAACAATAAGTAAAAAAGTTCGTATAAGTGTATGTCCTAAAATGCTTAGTTTCGGAGATAGAGGGTGTAGAGGATGTAGAATTTTCATTTTTATAAATATTTGGATGCAAATTGGTGGTCTGGGAGTTTTTTGACATGAGAAATTTGATTTTGATGTCAATATGACTCCTACTTGTAGGGGGCGCCACCTACATATGTTTTTACTGATTTGAAAAGTAATAACTTTTCGTCCGTACCTGTCTAAAATTACCGAGTAAGAAAATATACATTTATGACGTCTTTTACGTAAAAAAGGTTTCTTGATAAAAAATCTCTACTAGTAATGGTTCTCGAGATATTTGGAATAGAAATTATCAATACCTGTCATTATTGACATAAATTAAAAATGTTGACTAAATAGTTATTAGACTGAAATCATAAATTTAAACTTTTGTGCCACAAGTTCAACATAAACTGTTTTATTATCATTTCTTTGCAGATAAATTTATGATTAATTTAAAAAAATAAAAATTTCCCAAATTATTTATTCTTTCAGTGAAATAAATATCTACTCAACCGTGTTTATTTTTTGTCAATAATAACATGTATTGACAATTTCCATTCTAAATATCTTGAGAACGGTTGCTCATAGCGATTTTTGCCAAGAGACATTTTTTACGTAAAAAGTCCGAGAAATCTATATTTCTTTACTCATTAGTTTTATACAGGTACGGACGAAAAGTTATTACTCTTCAAAACAGTTAAAACACATCTATGTGGTGCCACCTACAAATAGGAGGCATATTGACATCAAAATCAAATTTCTCACGTCAAAAAACTCCGAGACAGCAATTTTCATCCAAATAATGTCTGTACTTCAGAAATTATTTGGAAAAAATCGAAATAAAAATAAAACTTCAGCACCCTGTATCTCCGAAACTAAACATTTTAGGACATACATTTATACGAACTTTTTTACTTATTTTTATCTGCAGAATATGCTGTCAAAGTTTCCGGAATACAGTTCAGACCACCCTGTTCATTATGAAAAAAAAATGCATATCTGGGGCATATATTGTGAAACAAGATGTATTCATGCATCTGTTGATAGTGTTGATCGAGGACAAGATGGCAGGAATTGGAAGGAAGAACATGTGTTAGCCGAGAAAATCAGACAGTAGACAGTGGACTACAATAGACAGGAATAGGGAAGCAATGGAAAATGTTATCAGAACTATCCATTAGTAGATATGCATTAGAAGAAGAAGAAGTAGCTTTTTAGTTTCTTACATACCTGCATTTTCAATAAATTTCTCTGAAATGGTTTTTACAGAACTTCTCCTGTTTAATTTAGTACTTTTAGTTGTCGATTTCTCGTTTTTATCGCAAATTTCCTAAAAAATTAGACAGTTTAATTGTAACGTAAAATAAAACAAATCAATGATCATTTACTTTTGTTCTTTTGCTGTCGGTAAGACTTTTCAGAGCAGGCGTGTCTTTGTATCCGAACTGTTGAGTGGTAGTAACACTGGCCACTTTACCGTTGGACCAAATCACACCTTCTTCGTCCAAATCTTTTGGGTCGGTCGAATATTTCGTCACGCTTATCTGACCAACCGGTTCTTGACCATTTTCGGAATAATACTCGCTGGACACTACTGTTCCTTGAACTAAAATATTATTCATAGATTATATATTATGCAAAGGAACAAGGTGAAATTTTTAATAATGAACACTGAACCTAAATTCAAAAGCTTTTCTAAAACAAAATATATTTGATATCCAATATATTGATAACCAACAAAAACTAAAGTAATGTACAACGAACTACTAGTCAGAAAAACCATTCTAATAAATAATACAAAACTGGAAATAGTAGAAGAGTACATATATTTGAGACAACTAATACACAGCTCAGGATCTCTACTACCAGAAATCAACCGAAGAATTAAGTTAGTATAGGATTACATATGGAAGAAACTCAATCATATTCAAATCCAGAATGCCACTTTATCTAAAGAAGAAAACATTCGACCAATGTGTACTACCAGTCAAAAAAAAATCTCATTATGATCGATCCAATGTTATTTGAATGAAGAATAGTTATGAAGAACAGAAATATCATTGCTATTCTATAGTACATCAACAGACCTACTAAACATATAAATGGGAAATGACGAGATGAGTAATGATGAGTAAATCTGTCTTACAGTTGATGCTGTGAATTCTAAAGACTAAAACAGTGTTATAATGAACTGAGACAATAGTTAAATGATTCTCACCTGTCTAATAAAAAATAGAGTCAACTAACCTTTAGATTTAACATTCTTGTTTTGTGCTCTTAAAGCCTTTAGTCCAAACAATGGTGTTCCATTTTCATCTGTCGGTCCTACTCCATAACTTGATGTTATGATATCTGTCAATTTAACATCCTTTGCTGGACTGGTTCTTAAACTTGATTTCTTTGTTACCGTGCTACTAGAACTGACCTTCCTCGATGCGTTAGATGCGTTGGTTTCTTTGACGTTTTTCAGGTTTCTTTGCTTCACCCACTCCGGTTGGTTATCTTCTACTTGTTTCTTTGTAGTAGGAACCGTTTTCTTTAATGTAGTAAAAGTCTTAGATTCCGTGGTGGTAGTTGTAGTCACCCTCACACCTCCGGGGATTTCTTCTGTAGTTTTTGTCGTGGTTGTTTTGCCGGTAGGCGTTACTGCTACAGTTTTGGAGACCCTTCTTTCGGGACTTTGTCTTTGAGGAGATGTTCTTTCACGAACAGGACTAGAACTTTTCTTAATTACGTTTGAGGATTCGCTAGATCTTTGTTTTGTAGAACTGAACGAGTGATATTCGGATTTTTCGGTGGTGGATTTTCTAGTTATACTGTCTCTTTGATCAACTGAATAAGTACGATCGGGACTCACACTTTTGCTCTTAGTAGGGCTTGAGCCCCGTCTTATTATCGATTTCCTATTTAAAATGAAAGTTTCAAATGTACCTTCAGTAATTAGTTTCTTTATTAAGCGTATTTGATTACGAATCTTCCTCCTTAATTCATAATTAACGACTTTTTCCAACTGAAAAAAAAAACGAAATTTGTTAAATAATATATTTACTGAAAGACCCAAACAGTCTTACCAACTCCTCTAGAATTTCCAGATCAAAAATTTCTTCAATTTCTTCCTCAGTAATTGTTTTTTCAAAAACAGTACTACTGCTTCTTTGTTTTAAAGTACTAGATACATTATCGGTAGCTTTTGTATTTTTTTGAGAATCTGTTCTCCTTAAGGTGACACCAAATTTAGTTTGCCTGGAATCTGCCTGATCATATGTTTGAGATTGTCTGTTTACTAAAAAAACAAATAATACTAAATAGACCTGTCATTTTTTTTATCTAAAGTACTACCTTGATTAACACTGTCTCTATGTGGACTTTTCAGTCGTAAGCTTCTGTCCAGTGGTTTCATATAATGCGGTGTATCACCCTCTGGAGATGTTTCGCGACTTCTAGGTTCCGTTGTAATTATTTCTGGAATTTTTTCAGGGGAGCTAGCTCTAAACCGGGCTATTTCAATTTTTTCAGGAGATTTTGGTCGTTCCGGTGATTTTTGTGGTGACTGCGATCTTCTTATTGTTGTTTCAACCAGTTTGGACGACCTTTCTATTTTTTCGGGTGATTTATAACGCTCCGGTGATTTCAATGGTGATTGTGATCTTCTTGTTGCTGTCTCAACTAGTTTGGATGATCGCAAGTTTTCTAAATAAACAAAACAACATTATTAAATATTTCCAAACTCTTTTAAAATGAAAAATAATACCTGATTCCTGAATAGAAGATTTCCTGATAGTCTCTTCCCGATTTTTAATACTTGTAGATGTTGTCCTTGACTCATGCTTCTTCGTTCTTTCATCAAAAACTGATGGTCTTTTCAAAATATCTATTTGTTTCGGTTTGGTTTTTTCCAATCCACCATTCTCAAACAAAGCTTTAGCCCTTTTAATACTTTCTGTACTTCTAAGACGTCCACTCGTGCTCAAGATAGTTTTTCCATCTTCTGGAGATCCTACGCGAGGCACATCTCTGTTTTTAGTTCTGTAAATTTCGTCTGTTACTTCGGTAGTAGAAATACTTGCATACTGATCGGATTGTCTTCTAGTTGGTGTGCTTCGACTTGGCGAAGGAGACTTCAATCTCTCGGGTGATATAGATGATGATCTACGGGTATAAGTTTGTTGTCTCTCAAAATGAACATCCTTAGTGGGCGATTTTCTATCAGGTTTAGTTTCTTCATCGTTTGTTTTTGGTTTTATTGTGATTTTTGACAAACTTACAGGCTTTGTACTGTTAGCCAACTGCTCTGCAGTAGAAATGAATTTGGTAACTTTGTCTGAAACGCTTAATAAGCATTCATCTTCTTTCAGCTCATCATCGACTTGTGATAAGTCTGGCCTTGTTCTTTTTGGAGCTTGACTCGGCTGTTTCGATTTGTTAGATTCCTCTACGGAAGATTTAAATTCCTCCACTTTTTTCTGGATGTTTACATTAACCCCGTCATATATTTTAGAACTCGGTGTTCTTCCTGGAATTTTTTGAGATGTTAGCTGCTCAGCTGTGCTAATAAACTTGCTGACTTTATCAGAAACACTCAACAGGCATTCGTCGGATTTTAAATCGTCAGAAATCTCGACACTTATTCTGTTCACTTGTGGTGCTTTATTAACAGGTTCTTTCTTCGTTTTGTCAGCTGTACTCAGGAACTTATTAATTTTCTTATCAATACTAAGAAGACTTTCGTCAGTTTCTTCCACCTTGTCCACTTCAGATATTTTTTTCTTAATATCGGTAACTTCTGTTATCCTTGTAAAATCGTTCGTATCTTCCGATTCGAAAATTGGAATGTCAGATAATTTCTTAGGTTTTCTTCTTAAGCTTCCATCGTCCGGTTCACTTATTTGGTCAGGGTATCTTACAGGACTTACTTCTTCTTCATCACTGGTTAAAGGTCTAGGACATAATCTATCAGGTGTAGGTTCTCTGGAAGATTTAGATCTTTGCAGGTTAACAACAAATTCACGATCTACAACATCTTCATCGGAAGCAAACGTTTTTGTAGTTGTTATACTCTCTCTTCGCAGTTGTTCATTAATTTGGCTTAGATAACTTTTGATCGCTTGTCAGATCAATAAATGAGCCTTCAATACTTTCAACAGTTGAACTCTTCACTGTCAGAGGAAGCATCATCGGAAGGTTTAGATTTAGGGAATTTTGATTTAGGTTTATTTGTTGTTGTTTTAGGTTGCTGAGTTGGGGTTGATTTACTCTTAGGAATTGTTGTATGGGTTTTCTTGGTAGGTGTAGTTCCATTTACTGTTTTCCTTACAGTTGTAGTATATTTAGTTGTTATATTAGATTTCGTTACTGGGCTCTTTTCTTGTGGCTTTATATTGACAACTGCTTTTTTGTAAGAGGTTGTCGAGTTGGCAACTCCTTTGGTTTACCTTTTGAGTATCCCCATTTAGTAATATAGTTTTACTTCTTTTCTTTTAGTAACGGTGTCATCAACTCTATTTGTTCTCAAATGAACAGATTTATCTTCTTGCAAGTTTTCTTTTTCTATATCTTAAGGGTCACTTTTGTTATAACCTTTGTCGTTTTGTTCAGAGGCCTTTTGATTTTATTTGAAAATTTGTCTTGATATTCTGTTCCTCCAATAAACTTTGTTTTTTCTACTTTATATATTGTTTGGGGTTTCTTTTTTAGGGGTGGATGCGTAGGAGATTGTTTTTGGTTCATTCTTTGTTACTTTAGTTGGTAATTGACACAAACTCTGTCACTTTATTAGTTGGGGTCTTCTTAATAGTTGGTTTTTCCTTTGTAAAATCTTTATTAATATATTTGGTTGTATCGCTTGTAGTTTTTGTGACAATTTTTTTATCACCATTCAATAGTTTCTCCTGCTTCAAATTTTCGTTTGTTCGTCTGGAAACATTTTCAGTTGTTTTTCTTTGAGTTTTTTTCTCTTCATTATAAGTAGTTTCAATAACATCTGTTTCGTCTTCGGAAGTAGTGTTGCTTTCTGGTTCTTTTCTTGTCTTATTCGTATCCGTAAATTTCCTGTCGGATATTAATACAGAAGATTTTTTTTCTGTTCTTTTTTCGGCAATTTTCTTAGTAGGTATTTTATTTTGGACTCTAGATTGTTTTTTCTCGTTATCCAATATCTCACTTTCAATCAGTTTTTGTGTCGCTTCTTTTTTGTTGATTGTTTTTATTTCATCCCCTCTGCAAAGCTGACTAAATATTTTTCTCTCAACTACAGGCTCCTCAACAGGTTTTCTGGTTTCCAATGTCTGAAAGAATTTTTCTTCGACATCTTCATGAACCTCTTCATCGGTTGAAGATTTGTCTTTTGATATGGTTTTACTTGGTATTTTAGATGGTTTTGACACAGTGGGAATTTTCTCTTTAGGTTCTTTCTGTGGAGATTTTTTTGTTTGTGAAGGGAACTCGCTAATAGTAGGAGCTGATGTTGTAGGAGTTCTTCTTTCTGGATAAGGTTCCAAAGGTACCTTTTCTGGTGATTTTTTAACCTGTGAAGGAAACTCACTAACACTAGGTACAGACTTGGTAGAAGACTTTCTTTCTGGGTAAGGTTCCAAAGGTTCCCTTTCGGGAGATTTTCGTATCTGAGATGGGAACTCATTAATACTAGGTACTGACTTTGCAGGTAACCTCTTTTCTGGATACGGTTCCAAGGTTTCTCTTTCTGGAGATCTTCTAATCTGTGAAGGAAACTCACTGACACTTGGCACTGATTTTTCTGGAGACTTTCTTTCCGGGTAAGGTTCCAAAGGTGCTCTTTCTGGGGATTTTCTCACTTGTGATGGAAACTCACTAACGCTCGGTACAGACTTGGTAGGAGACTTCCTTTCTGGATAAGGCTCCAAAGGTTCCCTTTCGGGAGATCTTCTTATCTGAGTGGGAACTCATTACTAGGAACTGATTTTTGTAGGTAATTTCTTTTCTGGATAGGGTTCCAAGGATTCTCTTTCTGGAGATTTTCTAATCTGCGAAGGAAACTCACTGACACTTGGCACTGATTTGGTTGGAGACTTTTTTTCCGGGTAAGGTTCCAAAGGTGTCCTTTCTGGGATTTTTCTGATCTGAGAAGGGAACTCATTAATAGTAGGCACCGACTTTGTAGGTGATTTTCTTCTGGATAGGGTTCTAAAGGAATTCTATCAGGCGATCTTCTAATCTGTGACGGAAACTCGCTAACACTCGAAACTGACCGTGTAGGAGACTTTTTTCTTTCAGGATAAGGTTCAAAGGTGCTTTTTCTGAAGATTTTCTGACTTGAGAAGGAAATTCACTCACACTAGGCACTGATTTAGAAGGAGATTTTCTTTCTGGGTAGGGTTCCAAAGATACTTTCTCTGAGACCGCCTGATTTGTGAAGGAAACTCACAAACACTTGGTACTGACTTTGTAGGAGATTTTCTTTCTGGGAAAGGTTCCAAAGGTCTCTCTCTGGAGACCTTCTAACTTGCGAGGGGGAACTCACTGACACCAGGTACTGACTTTGTAGGAGATTTCCTTTCTGGGTAAGGTTCCAAAGGTTCTTTTCCTGGCGATCTTCTAATCTGTGAGAGGGAAACTCGCTAACGCTTGGCACTGACTTTGTAGAAGATTTCCTTTCAGGGTATGGTTCCAAATGAGCTCTTTTCTGGAGCTCTTCTGACCCAGACGGAAATTCGGTAACGCTTGGTACTGACTTAGTAGGAGATTTTCTTTCTGGATAAGGGCCAAGTGGTTCTTTTTGTGGAGATTTTCTTAACCTGAGAAGGAAATTCGCCAATTCCAGGCCCTGTCTTTGTCGGAGATTTTCTAACCGAAGACTCAGATTTTGGTTTTGATTTTGAGGATATTTTGCTTTCCGGATATGATTTCGATAAATCCTTTTGGAGGCGATTTTCGCGTGTCTTTTTTATTTCTGACGTAATTTTGTCATGTTTAGATGTTTCCTTAGTCGAGCTTGTTTTTATTCCTGTACAACCTGTCTACCACATCATCACTGCTATATGTCCTAGTTGAGCTTTCCTTAGGGAGCTTCTCTTTAAAGAATTCTTTTCCAAACTACTCCTACGGGTTTCTTGATTGTTATTTATTCCTAGGATTTCTTTGACTCGTTCCTCATATGTATCTGTTCTGACAAGTTTTGGCCTGTCAGAAGGAGTTGATTGCTTAGTTGGTGATCTTGGCGATTCCTTAACAGGTGACTTTTTCGTACTAGATAAGTCTGGTAATGGCGATGTAGGTGACCTTTCAGTAACTTTTTTGTTTTTTCTATTTATTTCTAGCGTACTGGGGCGTACAGTTTCAGTTGATTTTTTATCCACTGTATTAATATACATCGAATTGATCTTTGAATAATCTTCATCATTTTTGATATACTCAAAATCACTTGTAGTTGTGCCTGTTGAGAAGGGACTTCGTGGTCTATATTTTTCCTTTGTTACCGTATTATAATTACTGGTATCTGGACGTGTGTGTCTTAGATCGTCTGGTAATTGTGTCAGAATTATAATGTTCAGATTTTGTAGTTCTGGACACATCTCCATTTACAGTTTTCGGAGAAGTCTTAGTTGTTCTGTATGTAACAGTTTCGGTACTAGAAAATTTGTTTTGTGTTTTCTTTGGCTGGGCGATCTTCCACGATCAGAGATAATCTATAAAAACAAAAATAAAACAAATATCTTTTAGATGCAGATATTGAAAAAAATCCTATATTGAACCTACCTTGAAGGATGCCTCATTTTTTCAGGGCTGCTCCTTAGTGAAGTAAGTTTACTTCCAGTCCTAGGTGTACTTCTTCCAATTCTTTCTGGGGTAACTGACTGTAGTGATCGAGCAAAAAGCATCGTGGGTAGGGCTGACTTCAACTGATATCTTCTTTGTTGGTAAATTCACTACGATAAGTAGTATCGTATTGTCCTTCAGTAGGTGTGGGTTTCTGATCTAATTCTGATTTTCCAGGTTTAATTGGCTGACGCTTTTCTGGCTGTTTATATGGTGATTGTTCTACATTTTGAGGTTGCTTTGGAGCTTTATATTGTTCTTGGGGTTTTGGTTTTGTTGGAGTCACTTCTACTGGTTCTCGGTATCCTTGTCTGCTATTTTGAGTATCAATTTCGTGTTGGCGTTCTGTGGTGATAAACTGATTGCTCGAAACTTTTGTAGATTCATTTACGTGCTGGTCTTGGTTGATATTGTGAGTTTTAGTTGTTTGGTAAATTACATCAGATTTTTCTTGTGGAATTGATTCCGTTGTTACAGTTCGGGTTGTAGTAATTTTAGTAGATGCAGAAGTTGTATCCCTCGGTACAGAAGCTAAGTCAATCTCCTGTTGGGAAATTCTTTGTTTCTCGCTAACTTTAGAGTCTTGCTGTCTAGTTTCCTTAGAAGTTCTCGTTGATTGCTGACTGGTAATATTATCTCTCCCACTAACTAAGTTGTTGTATTCGTTTACCTGTTTTACATTAATATCTACTGTACTTCCTGGCTCGATAACGTACGCTACCATTTTCCTGTCATCTCTAGTATCTCTGGAGCCGCTTGTCACATGACTACTACTTGATTGAACGTGTGAGCTACTAGAAGAAGCTTTCTGTTCTACTTTTGTAGCACCAATATTGCTATATTTTTTGTGGGTAGCTCTCTGTGTCGAATTCCCATCTTTAGTTTCATAATGAGTAGTGGTAACTATTGTACCGTCAGCTAAAGTTTTTGTTTCTTGAGTTACCTACATATATTCAAAAACAAAAATCATATAGTTAATCAAAATCTACATAGATGCGTAACATGAAAAAATCTTACCGTTGTTTTGCCTTCAAGGTAGCTTGGGTGTTTTTTCAAATCACTCGGAACATTTGTAGTGTACGTTTTTTGCGTTACAGATTTAAAATTATCCTCATTTATTGAATATGGTATTTGGCCCTTCGTTATAATTGTCGTTGATGAAGGTTGTTGAGTATCCTCAAACGAATTTTTGCTTTCCGAGACGTATTTTGAGGAAGATGAGGATTTAGTTGTTGAAGATCTGAAATTTGAATGTTCATCTCCACCGCTGGCTTCTTGCTTTAGAACGGAACTGGAAGACGATCCTACTGCTTTAGTAAAGTTCTTGTCATCTCCATCTTGGAATACTGAAGTCTTTTCCTCTAATTTAGCAGAGTAATCCATTTTACCGTTGTCGATTTTTTCAGTGCCGCATGTTGAAGCGGTATGAGTAGCAATGTGGGTTTTCCCATCAGCACTTTTTTCGTTAGATGACGTTACTGACCACCCTTGATCTTGATGTTTTGCTGTAATTAAAAAACTTGAGAAAATTGAATGAACATAAAGAAAGTTTTCTTACCAATTGTTTTATTGTAGCTATCTCTGGTAGGGCTTTCTGAATCCCTTACTTCCTTACTTTTCAATGTAACGTAACTTTGGTCAGTCAAGTTATCGGCATGAGTAGTGGACATCTTAGTTTTTGATGAATTCTCGCTTGATCGCGTAGTTGTGGTACTACTACGAACTTCGCTAGTTACTTCTCCAGTATTATAGAAATCTTTCAGTCGATTTTCTCTTAATTTATACATGTGAGCCCTAATTTCTTTCTTTTTTCCGAAGTCGTCAGTTTCTTGCCACTGAAAGAATATTTTAACACAAATAAGTTTCCTTATAATTATTAATTCTCTTAATAATATATATATGAGAACCTGCAGGGTTTAGACATTATTACTTATTAGGGATTTCAGTGCTAATTAAATGATTTCTTTCATTATGACGTGGCATTCTTAAAATATTAATTACGGATTTAGGGAATCATATTAGATGCAATTGCAAATGTTAAAAAAAATAAATGGTGGGTTAAATTATAGTTTAATAATTGTATTATTGTTAATATTACTAACATACTATATTAGTTGTGAAGACATTAGTAATGTTACCATTTTTCGCAATACCTCTTCATCTTGAACTTTGGCTACGTCTACAGTTTCCTGGCCGACATGGCCTAAACACTGCAAGTCTGAAAAAATCCATCGATCATCCTTCTGTCTGACATTGTGACCGGCAAACTTCCATTTCAATTTTGCTACTTCACTTCTAACATCCCTTACTTTAGTTTTTCCTCTGATCCACTCATTCCTTTTTCTATCTGCCAGCCTTATATGTAGCATTTGTCTTTCCGTAGATCTTTGAGATTTTGTTACCTTATCCATATTGATTTTGTCAGGGTCCAGGCCTGGGATCCGTAAGTAAGTACGTGTGTACTCCTTGTACTTACTTACTTACGAACCTCGCAATTAGTGGAATTAATTAGTGGTTTCAATTAAACTTTATATATTTTAGTTTACGACTATTCACAATGTTTAAAAAACAAAATTAAAATTAATAGAATATCCTAGCAACAGCTTGGGTTAGTCAGTTGTATCCATAGAGAAAGCATAATATTTAGCTTATAAAACAATAAACTTTTAATTTCTAACCACATTGTTCTCTTGACAGGTGATAATCAAAAGCCAAAGTGAAATTCCTCGCAAATTTTGAAATATAATTAGTGGAAAAGTTGAAAGTTTGTTAACTTTTTCCACTAATTGAAAATTCCTACCATTAATTTCTGACCATTAACGTTCTGAATGCTTACATTGAAATTAAAGGAACGAACTTCTGCGGTAATTGAAACCACTAATTTGTTCCACTAATTTTGAGGTTCTGTATGACACTTAACAAGAAATAATTCTGTCACAGAAGATCTTTATTCTTTCGTGACGTTTTGAAGAATTTTTAGCTCTAAAATTGGAGGAAAACTAGATGCTCATTTATGCTCATAACTGTACATTTTGTTCTCCAATAATTTGTTAATAAAATTTGAAAATATTATCTAGTTCTCCGAAATAGATAATAATCTATATTGTCTAGCTCCCACATTTTCAGCGCCATGATGTCACACCGGAGAACGGATTTATTAAAATAACATTAGTCTTTATTAATTCTGACCACTATATTTACCATTTACGGCTGATTTATGGTTATTTTTATGAATTTTTAAGCGACGACCAGCTTTGATTGGCGCTGCATTTCACGGGCTCGTGGGTTATTTATAATTTTAACATTTTGATTAGTCAATTAGTTAATTTTAGCGAAATATTATTCCCAACTATATATAACTTAATTAGATTGTTTATCAGATGTATTAAAATATTTATTGAGTTTTGTTATTTTTTAAATAAATTTGAGTATTCTACTGAGATGCCACCACTTAATAGAGACTTGAAACATGGCTTCAAAATAATTATTACTGTAAGTTGATTACTCAGAATACTGTGAAGATGAAAAATTAATTTGTTAATAGCATTTTACAAATAATCAATTTTTTTAGGGGTACTATAAAAAGAGTATCTAAATATGCGAGGGAGACTATTAAATTGTTGGAACTTTAGGATTTAAGAAGATGTTCAAATATTCCTCCATCGACTGCTAGACAATAACCCAGGCGATCATAAAATTCTTTTCTTACATTCGCTAGTTGGTAAACTGAAATTCTATTGCATTCGGCAGAAATAGCATTTTTTTTTTTTTTTTTAAATATACTTGGTATTTTTTTATCCTTGTATATCCTGTTTTTTAAATGGCCCCAGAGACAAAAATCATTTGGCGAAATATCAGAAAACCTTGCTGGCCAATTTACTGTATGATTTAGGCCAATAACGTGTCCGTTAAAACTATTGTTAAATATTCCCGAAACAGCCAGGGTACTATGTGCCGTGCAGCCATCCATTTGTTTCCAAATTTCCTAATTTTCCCTAGCAGCATCATATAAAGCAGGTAAAATATAATTCTCCGAGTAGTCCAAAAATATTCCTGCATTTTAACACCTGTATCGCGTAAGAAGTAATGACCCGATAATATTGCGTCCGAATATCCCTCCCCAAACATTTACTTTCTGTGATATTGCGTCCTTGTTTCAACAAACCTGTAGTAAACATTGGTTCATTATTTAAGGTAAAAGTGCATTTCGTCAGTGAAACATGTTTTGTAAAAATTCCCTATCCATATTTGCTCTTTCCATCATATCAAAACAAACGCCTGCCGCCGTATCGTCCCCATCTCGTAGCTCTTGATGCTTTTCAATTGAGGAAATAGATTATTTATGTCGTTTCAAAATTCGAGTGAACGCAAAATAAAAAAAAACTTCAGTGTGATCTAATTTCTATATCAATCCTTAAGTCCTCTCCTGTGCTGACCGTTCCATCGCTCTCCTCTTCTACTGCACAAAATATTCTCAAGTAACGGATCACTCTATACATTCCTCTTTGTCCATAGCCCTTGTTTCACATCTGCAGGTATTTATTAGGGTACCTTGTCTCAAATCTCTGGATATTCCTTGCGATTGTAGACTTTCCAGGTATCGGTCTATCTCTCTCTTGTGTGGT